TTTTTACATAATGTATTGAGGCAGGGTTTGGGCTGAACCTACTTTTTCAATGGTTTTTACATAATGTATTGAGGTAGGGATGGGTATGAATCTACTTTTTCAGTGGCTTTTACATAATGTATTGAGGTAGGGAGGGGTATGAACCTACTTTTTCAATGTTTTTTACATAATGTATTGAGGTAGGGATGGGTATGAATCTACTTTTTCAATGTTTTTTACATAATGTATTTAGGCAGGGTTTGGGCTGAAACTACTTTTTCAATGGTTTTTACATAATGTATTGAGGTAGGGATGGGGCTGAACCTATCATTTCAATGTTTTTACATAATGTATTGAGGTAGGGATGGGGCTGAACCTATTATTTCAATGGTTTTTTACATAACGTATTGAGGTAGGGATGGGTATGAACCTACTTTTTCAATGGTTTTTACATAATGTATATGCTTTAATCATAACTGATGAAGCATCATTTTTTCCAAGTCAGCGGGTTTATTAAGGTTATCAAATGTTATTTTTACACACTGTATGCTGTTAGACACCAAAGTCTAATTTGTTATAAATTTCGAAAAAATTAAAGTTTTTAATCAACAAAAACATATCTCAATTTACTGCCCTTCTACTTCCTGTTAAGTATATGAAGAGTGTCAGATTAGTTAATTGACAACTGTATTTCAATCAGAATCTCAATATACAACATTTACTTTCTGAGTTAGATTACATCTTAATACAAAGAAAAAAAAGCCAATTATTATTAGTTTCCATCAACCAACAAAATGTAAAAAGAATTAGTAGCAAGCTTTAACCAAACGGCGTGCTGCTGTCTTAATTCTGGTTTTTCAGGGAGAAAGAAAACGTGTGCAACCATCTTTTTGTTCCATTCTCGAATTGAGGCATACAAAAGTTAGAATGGATCATGCAAATCAGAACAAGTTTTATTATAATTCTGTTAATACTTTCTGAAAAGTAGCAGTATGTAACTTTGTATGCAATATCCTTACAAATAAAAACAGCCAGCTGGTGGTCAATTTGTTTTTACGATTCACTCAAATCTGAAGCAAGGACAACCAGTGACATTCTCACTTATCATGCGCTATTAATCGAAAAATCATGTCGTATGATCCTTCGACCACCTATAATATAGCCTATACGTCAAAACAATAGTTGACTGATTTAACATTGATATATTTTTCAAAAACACAAAAGTTTTTTAATGAAAAACTACGGCAAATTTTCATAAAGTGTGCATGAACATATACTCGAATCATCGTTGTCGCATCACTTATTCTGAACCCAAATGCTTTGCAATGTTTTCTTCAGTTCAGTTAAAATTCATGTGTCCTCCTTCATAGTTTAAGTTTACTTATGTCTAAACAAAATGTAGTTAGTTAAATTTCAATAATTTAAGCTAAACTATGACAACTGTTGCAAAATGTCTTGCCAGATACGTCACTAAAACAAACACTCATTATACAGGCATATATTATTGGTGAATTCAAGTTTATTAGTATATTGACTCAAGTCATCTTATATTACATATAAACCAATCAACATTAATTCCGTAACAATAGATCAAGTATCCCGTATGAATCTTGGTATTCATGGGTTTTTTTCATTAAAATTTCAACAGATACGTGACCTGTATTTGTCTAATAAAATTGTAACCATTGCTGTGGGAAATATTTTATAGCTTACACAATAAAACTGAAGTATGAAATTGTTGAACAACATTTGAGAAAAGGTTTAAATTGATTTAACGTTTGTTTTAGTGATAATGTTAAGAAGCATGAGTGTAACAGTTGTTCATTATAATGTGTGAGGTATCTGTTAGAAATGGTAAAATATCTGGTTAAGGACTGAAATGAGTAACCTAAAACGCTGAAAACATTTCAATACCTACGGACATGTCAAAATCAAATTGTGTGCACATATTACTGAATCACTGAAGGCCTTTGTTACCCTTTTTTTTTAAATTATTTTCCCTTCATGTCTAAGTATGACGAATTCTAAGGCAGAAATGAAACAAAAATGCTTATATCATGAGCGCAAAAAGCTAAATGGCCCTCAATTCCTGCAAAACGAAAAAAAATAAAGTAAAATGTTGGGTTCATACTTTTAAAAAAAAAGTCAGCAAAGGATTTAAAAGGAACTTGATAAAAGATTCTTTCAACTTTCTTGATTAAAAAGTCATCACTTTTGAATGGGAGTAATGATTGGAAAAAAGTGACATATACACTATCCTATGCTTTTGGTAGTATAAGATGACTTCGCCTTGTTGTTTGATTTCCTTAAAACTTACACAAAGTTGTTTTCATGATAAAAGCTTGTTGTAAAATAACGTGTTCAAAGTGGGTGGACAGATACGTTATATAACGATATATCCTTGCTATAATGCAACATACCATAAGGATTTCTTTTTCTCAAATATGGATCAAATTGTTACTAATTAATCAAGTTGAGTACAAATAAGATATCATCTCAATCGAATATGCTGTAACACTTAATTCGTACTTCTGGCTGACAAGGTAACATATACATTACAACTGATAATTGACTTTAGATTTGATATACAGGTGATGTACATTCTTTGTTGTGTTGCTGAAGAAGGAATGTTTTGTAGATATGCATTAAAAATATCACTTTTCTAAAACTAAACTCATGAAAGCTGTTCAAAACTTTTAAGTTCAAAAAATGAAATAAAATTGTTCCTGAACACATTTATTTTGAAAGATTTTCTTTCGAAACAAAAGCCGATTTTCATATCCTGTCAGAAAAAAAGAGTTGCTTACTACAGAAAGGTCTGTTATTCCGATACAGTGGAATCACACTTATGGTAATTTTGAAGAAGAAAATCATTTCAATTTGAAGAAGCTGTATCACGTATCTGTTAAACTGACAATGACCTATTGGGAATGGACACTTGATTTTTCAAACTGGGTTAATAGTAAACAGAACCCTTTCGGTTTATTATCTTACACCTTACTCTTTTGAGAAACGATAACCAAATGTTCGCAATGTAGAATACAATTTTCACTTTTACTCCATACATATGTATTGGCTTATCATAAGTGAGAATGACTGTAAAGGGATCATTCAAACCCTGTTTTGTAATAATATTTTTCCTATTTCCTGAGAAATAGCAGTAAAATCACGAAATGTGGTTGGCTTTTTTATCAATCTCAAAACTGAGCAAGGGCCACCATGAACCAATGGGATCATGCATATCTACAGAAAGTTACATCTCTGAAGTTAGTTTTTCTATTATTGTCTGTAACATTAATTGTTTGCAAACATCTACTACTAACGGTATGACAACTTTGCAAGCCTCTACTATGTAAGATCTGTGCAACAGGACTCGGGAGAGAAAACTATGGAAACCTTGTACTCAACAGACAAGGGAGACAACTGTACAAGTATTTACTATTAGTATAAGACACACAGAATAGACTTCTATGGAAGCTGATCTTCTACTAGTAACAAACGAGGGAGACAACTGTACAAGTATTTACTATTAGTATAAGACACACAGAATAGACTTCTATGGAAGCTGATCTTCTACTAGTAACAAACAAGGGAGACAACTGTACAAGTATTTACTATTAGTATGGGACACACAGAATAGACTTCTATGAAAGCTGATCTTCTACTAGTAACAGACATGGGAGACAACTGTACAAGTATTTACTATTAGTATTAGACACACAGAATAGACTTCTATGAAAGCTGATCTTCTACTAGTAACAGACAAGGGAGACAACTGTACAAATATTTACTATTAGTATAGGACACACAGAATAGACTTCTATGGAAGCTGATCTTCTACTAGTAACAGACAAGGGAGACAACTGTACAAGTATTTACTATAAGTATAAGACACACAGAATAGACTTCTATGAAAGCTGATCTTCTACTAGTGACAGACAAGGGAGACAACTGTACAAGTATTTACTATTAGTATAAGACACACAGAATAGACTTCTATGGAAGCTGATCTTCTACTAGTAATAGACAAGGGAGACAACTGTACAAATATTTACTATTAGTATAAGACACACAGAATAGACTTCTATGAAAGCTGATCTTCTACTAGTGACAGACAAGGGAGACAACTGTACAAGTATTTACTATTAGTATAAGATACACAGAATAGACTTCTATGGAAGCTGATCCTCTACTAGTAATAGACAATGGAGACAACTGTACAAATATTTACTATTAGTATAAGACACACAGAATAGACTTCTATGAAAGCTGATCTTCTACTAGTAACAGACAAGGGAGACAATTGTACCAGTATCTACTACTAATATTAGTGAGACAGGAAAAGGCAACTGTACATTCACAAGCATCTACCTCTAGAACTACACAAACAGAGGAGAAAAAACTACAAGAACATGCACTACCACTACTGGGCAGACAAGGGAGACAACTAAGTTAACATCTACAACAGGTACTTGTACTAGACTGGAAGGGAGACAGCTGGTTCATTTCACTTACCGCCTGGTTCACAGTATGCATTGTGTCTGATGAAGAGATATACCGCTATCAGGAATGATGTGATGTTGAACAAAAACAGGCCCACTTTGTAGTTGTAGGATGTCTTCTCCTGTATGTCATAATTATACGAAATGTCATAATTATACATAGATAATTATACATACATGATTATACATACATAATTATACGAAATGTCATAATTATACATACATAATTATACATACATAATTATACGAAATGTCATAATTATACGAACATAATTATACGAAATGTCATAATTATACGAACATAATTATACATACATAATTATACATACATAATTATACGAAATGTCATAATTTTACGAACATAATTATAATTATACATACATAATTATACGAAATTTCATGATTATACATACATAATTATATGAAATGTCATAATTATACATACATAATTATGCATACATAATTATACATACATAATTATACGAAATGTCATAATTATACGAACATAATTATATATACATAATTATACATACATAATTATGCATACATAATTATACATACATAATTATACGAAATTTCATGATTATACATACATAATTATACGAAATGTCATAATTATACGAAATGTCATAATTATACGAAATGTCATAATTATACGAAATGTCATAATTATACATACATAATTATACGAAATGTCATAATTATACATACATAATTATACGAAATGTCATAATTATGCATACATAATTATACATACATAATTATGCATACATAATTAAACATACATAATTACACAAAATGTCATGATTATACATACATAATTATATAAAATGTCATAATTATACATACATAATTATACGAAATGTCATAATTATGCATACATAATTATATGAAAAAGTATTAATCATACATAGGCCTACAGTGCCTACAACTTGTCTGTCTTAACAAGGAATTGCTTTATTATTCATGGCAGACATGTCATATTATAAAACAAGCAATGAACAATGAATTAAACATAATAGACACAATGTGAGCATAAGGTAGGTGCAGTAAAACCTGTGACCACCTCTAAATTTGACATATCATTAGTCTGTTTAGAGATGACTGATGTTTCCCATTGTAGTATTTATATTTTGACTTGTATAATAATAACCTGTATTTACCTTACACTACCTGTGTGTGACCTACATTTACACTGGTCACTGAGACTTACCTTACACTACCTTTGTGTGATCTACAGTTATACTGGTCACTGTGACATACCTTACACTTCTTGTGTGTGACCTACATTTACACTGGTCACTGTGACTTACCTTACACTACCTGTGTGTGACCTACATTTACACTGTTCACTGAGACTTACCTTACACTACCTGTGCGTGACCTACATTTACACTGGTCACTGAGACTTACCGTACACTGCCTTTGTGTGATCTACAGTTATACTGGTCACTGTGACATACCTTACACTTCTTGTGTGTGACCTACATTTACACTGGTCACGGTGACTTACCTTACACTACCTTTGTGTGATCAACATTTACACTGGTCACTGAGACTTACCTTACGCTTCCTGTGTGTGACCTACATTTACACTAGTCACTGTGACTTACCTTACACTACCTGTGTGTGATCTACATTTACACTGGTCACTGAGACTAACCTTACACTTCTTGTGTGTGACCTACATTTACACTGATCACTGTGACTTACCTTACACAACCTTTGTGTGATCAACATTTACACTGGTCACTGAGACTTACCTTACACTTCCTGTGTGTGACTTACATTTACACTGGTCACTGTGACTTACCTTACACTACCTTTGTGTGATCTACATTTACACTTGTCACTGTGACTTACCTTATGTTTCTTGTGTGTGACCTACATTTACACTGGTCACTGTGACTTACCTTACACTACCTTTGTGTGATCTACATTTACACTTGTCACTGAGACTTACCTTACACCTCCTGTGTGTGATCAACATTTACACTGATCACTGTGACTTACCTTATGCTTCATGAGTGTGACCTACATTTACACTGGTCACTGTGACTTACCTTTCACTACCTTTGTGTGACCTACATTTACACTGGTCACTGAGACTTACCTTACATTACCTTTGTGTGATCTACATTTACACTGGTCACAGTGACTTACCTTACACTACCTCTGTGTGACCTTTATTTACACTTGTTATACATTGACTTACATTTACACTCATTGTTATCCCATTAGCAGTGCGTCCCCACCGGAATAGTAGGCATGATAACAGCATGTATAACAGAGAAGTTACCATAAATGTCACAAAAAGTTTCTCATGGACACCTGTAAAACACAGATATAACACCTGTTAATATTCATATATATATAGCTAATCTCAGTCCCCTAATCAAGATAATAAATATATGTTTTGTTGAACTCATGTAAAATTAACAATCATGAAAAGTCTTATAATAAATATAATGTGAAATGATATTCAATCATTCATTATTTCCAACACCTCATTTGTTTACATTATTTGGGTAAATCTCTGTAAGTCAAAAACAATTTGTGCTTCCTTTTCCTAGTCTATTGCCCATGTCCAAGGTTTCCCTGGGTTTGGCTCTTTTGATCTCCCTTTAATACATCCCAGTCATCCTTTACCAATCCCAGTTTGTCCCATTTGATAAAAATTGATAAATACCAGTGGATCCCAGCTGTATAATAAAATCGTGATGGGATTCCTTTGAGATATGATACCTACTCCAGTATCTCAAGTAATTCTGGGCATTTTGACATGTCACACTATTGTTTATCTGGAAGTAACAGTCAGTTTACTGTTATAGTAAGTCTTACCATGATTTTCAGATGAAGAGATAAAGGACAGCCCGACCAGAGAAAGATTTTCTAGGATGTGGAGGAGACTGGTTAGAGCTGCCAGGGACTGATATAGGCTGTTCCTCTGTCCCACATGGACTTGTGTATGGAAATTGTAGTAGGCGACAGAAATCATCAGTCGAGGTGAGCAATGGAGAGCCACACATATCCTCCACACATACCTCTGGGGGGTGTACCCACCTATAGCCGACGAGATGGAGGGCAGGTAATTAGCTACCTGATGAAAAAAAAATTGTAATCAGAAAATAAAAATTGCTATAAATAATAAACCCATAGAATCTATCAATACGAAAATAAGAAATGTTGTTGGAAAAATTGTCATATATAGTCATAGAAAAACAACTACCAAGAAGATGAACTAGAACTGTCTCGATGGCAGACCTATACCCCTACTTGCTTCAAAAACTGTAGGAAAAGTTTTTTAGAGAACTTTTTTACCAAAGGGGTAAACTCTCTAAATCAAAAGTTTGTTGAACCAAGAAATGCTCCCCTGATAAGCTCCTGCATTAAGGGCTTAAACTATACTCAATCTTAGTAAACTTGTTCAGATTCCAAAAACAAACATACAGTAATGTATCACAAATATTATAGAATACTTGTTCAGATTCCAAAAACAAACATACAGTAATGTATCACAAATATTAAACTATTCATAGCCATCTTGACCTCAATTTTATCACAGAGTAGCCCCAACATCAAAGTATGAAATAGAAACTAATTAGTTTTATAATCCTGATGAGCCGGCATTTGTAGATGATGTACGTTGATGTTTATTGATCCTATGATATTTTAGATACATGCACACATGAAGCATAGCGCAGCTGCCGAATCCTATTATACAGTTTACTGGCACTGTCAGATAAATCTGACCAGCACAGAACAAGAGGAAAGACGTCCTTACATTTAACTTTACAGTGCAGTAATAACTATGCTAACATGTATAAACTTGAAGCCTATAGTGTTTATATTGTGAACAATTCAGACAAATGTATGTAATATCACGAGGACAACTGGTGACATCACCAATTCCCCTGGTGCATGCCAATCTTAGGTTGTTTCCGTGGATGATGAAGGCGTAATACACACACAACTGATTGCACCTTTAAAATTTGGTAATAGACAGAGTAAACCAAAATTTAATTTCCCTGCATCATATAGCTATTTCGTCCTTCTAGGTCTCCTCAATGGTGATAGGAGCCAAAACTTTGGAAATCTAAATTGTCTAAACTTCTCATGAAACAGAAGGCATTTAGAGGAGTTCTGGTTACTTTCAAATTGATAATGTGTATATTATATGAACCATTGCCACTACTGAAAAGAGATAGCTGTGGCCATCATTCAAGGTTATAGCAAACCTTGGGGGCTAAATAAGCCACCAGCCGAGTCTTCCACCTCGTATCTTAACAGATGGACATAACACACACACAGGTGACTGCACCTGTCAAATTCAGATAAAAAAATAAACAATCTGTAAGTCTATCACCTTGTCACTAGATAAACAATCTGTAAGTCTATCACCTTGTCACTAGATAAATAATCTGTAAGTTTATCATCTTGTCACTAGATAAATAATCTGCAAGTCTATCACCTTGTCACTAGATAAATAATCTGTAAGGCTATCACCTTGTCACTAGATAAACAATCTGCAAGTCTATCACCTTGTCACTAGATAAATAATCTGCTAGTCTATCACCTTGTCACTTGAAAGATGAAGGTAACACACAGGTTTGTTCATGCGCTATCGCACATACCAGGGAGTGTCAGTTGTCCCTTTAGGATCCTTACCACCAAGTTTTCACACATCTTTGATTGTAATACATTTATGCTATGAGGTTCTTGACTCTTTAATGGAGTTCTCCCCTGCTAAACTTTATTGGTAGCTGACATCAATGTCCCTATTTTAATTCACCACTATATGAGTGTATATCCTGTCAATTTTTACCTTTTGCCTTATTAGCATATATGTATATCACACTGTCATGGTGCTTTTAAAACCCTTACTTAGGAATACTTGTCATACATTAAGTATTCAGTACCTAAATCTAGCTTTATAAATTTAAATTTCTAAAGCTACCTGTCTGTGATTATGTTTGTACCTTGCTTTACATGTTAAATCATAAAATATAAAATTACCTCTGTGACATTTGTTTGTCATTAAATTACCTGGTATATATAACTAGCTTTTGAACATGTGATTACTATTATACTTCACTTCTGTTGCAATAATAGCACTAACTATAGCTTAAGTTTTAGTGTTTTAAATATGAGACTTGAAATAAAAATAAAAAATAAAATTTTGATTCAAAAAGTGATAGCACCTTTAAAATTTGGTACTAGCTACAGTAAATCAAAAATGAGCTCATTTCTAGTATACCTATATAGTATAAACAGAAACTAGCCAAACATCCTTGTTTAACTCATTCACCCCTAAAATTCCATAATGAACTATTCCAACTTTTGAATTGGAAGAATTCAAATGTGTCTTCAGAGTGAATGAGTTAATAAAAAAATCTCATGTAACAAGAATTTAGCATTCCTATTCATGTATAACATCCACCACATGTACTTTGTGACTTTAGTAAAGACTGTAAAGCCATAAATAAATCAACATCAGTTTAAGTCTAGCTCTTTTGTATACCCGAATCAATAAAATAACCATAGGCCTATAGGTCTTATAATAATATGATATTACCAGTAGGCACAATGGCACTAATGCCTGGTATGCCTTATTGTAATTCCCTTTGACTTTGTTAGTGTACTTTAATAGTATTATCACATATTCTTTATGTATAAGGTCAATCATTGTATCATATGTCTTTTAACTGCTAAATCAACATCTTTGCTGTAAGCTATGTCAATAATTATACATTACCAAAAACAGTGTTACCAAATACCCAATCATAAGTCCCAACAAACAGAGTCATTAATATCTGAATAGTGTAAAGCCTAACTTTAAATATTAAAAAAAAATAACCTTGAGCAGACTGACGGCACACAGATAAGTCCTACTCCAAATTAAGAGTTACATGTATTGGCGAAATCTTCTATTTACAGAAATCTATACAATCTGTACATGTATGCCAGTAACTAGGTTTACCTTTACACATGATCAGGACTTTGAGGTACCCTTGCATCCCACATACCTGTTCTACATAGTGTTGTATATGACAATAAATGTCATGGCTATGATGTACCACTAAGTTACATAATAAAATGAAAAATGAAAGACTTTTACATATAGCAAAAGGGTACTGCTGGTAGGGACTGACCCAATCACTTGTCCTTTCTGTTAAATTAAGTGGTGGCTGATGTGTGCATCCATTTTCATTTGTATGTGCTTTGTTTGCTTTGACTATTACTAATTGTTCCATGTTTATAGATAGATGTTTAATACAGTCCAATACTAGTTATGTTAATCTGGAATGGGACCTTTTGTCACTGGTAAAATCCATATCAGCCCCGTGTTAATTTCGACCTTCACATGTGATTACTAGACCCAGTATATTATGTACTGCCATGATATATATGCCCTCATTATGGAAGGTAAAAAAATGATAGTTAAACTGCGACGAAAACTTCCCTGATTACAGTGATTATAGATATATGTACTTCCCTGATTACAGTCATTATTGATATATGTATCGACCATGCAGAAAAAAAATCCAGAATTTTTCTTTTTGTCTTAAATTCACATTTGTATTTGATCAGCATAATTTAAATACATGTACACAATAATAAAGTTAATAACCATATTTTTATTCAAGTTAAAACTTTCTTTAGAAATTCAAACGACGTTATACTCTGGAGACATACAGTATTACTGGTTCGGTGTTTATGTTTTAACTAATGGTTATACTAGAAACATCTTTCAGTAGTAAATGTTTAAATGCCAGATCATATATCTGTTTTATAGTCAGCTGAAAATACCTTTAATAGCTTTGTGACTTTAATATATACTTGAACGTGTTATGTTTAGCAAAATAAGAAATTTTGTTAGTCTGTAAGCTGTGACTAGAAATTGTTTTACATTACTTGTATATATATATTTAACTGAACATGATGTAACATTTTTATTATTATTCTGCTTATTTCTTCCAACAAGAAAATAGCATAACAGCATAACACTCGTAAAATAGGATCACTAGCTTGACGGCATTTTAATCTAGAATAATAATTTACAAATCATAAACAACATAAACTGAACATTTATGTATTGGCAATCAAAATAAAATCATCAACTAAATAACAATGAATTTTTCGCATTTTTGCGAATTATATGTAAAAACACTACCAAATCAAAATAAACAAAAGTGACTTTTTAAGTTGACAAAGCTTTTCAGCTGCGACTGGTTCAGTTCCGTAAGGCGGACCAGAACATTTAACGACAACTGCCTCGTTAAATCGGAAGTAACCTACAACGTGTAGATCTAATAGCACGACAAAGTACATTATATCAGGGTGTTGCAAAGCACTAATAGCTGTTATTAATGTAAACAACACTTTTGTCATGGCACTTACCCTGCAGTGGGTGGCTGTCGACGACTCAAAATGATTTAGAAGAGACCATATTACACAAAATATAAATCCAAATAATGGTAAAGATAACACTATTTTTCCTAGAAAAGCAAACTGCACTTGGAAAAGCAGTTTATTTGTTGTCTGACCCGTCATGGCGTGTATTGTCACAGCATTGAGTCTCTGCAAGTTGAGGTTGGTTTTTTAACGTTAAACGGTACATCAATGTCATTAACAAGCTTGTCTGTTAACCTTGATAACATGCGTCTGACTGACGAAGAGGAAGAGCGCTTGCCATTAAATGACGGAGGCGGTTGTGCCAATACTTACCTACACTACCAAAGCAAATAAGGAAAACATCATTAGATTTAATTATTATCACAGCATAGCTAGGGGGTTAAATCACAAAATAATCATGCAAGCGTTTCTTTTAAATGGACATAAAGTAAGACCGCAAATTAAAAATTAAAAAAGCAATCTTCCGTGACAAAAATAGCAGTTCGACACTGATAAGTACAATAAAATCTATGACAATTAACCAAATACTTTTAAGTCATGAAATATGTCACAGGGTTGTAAACAGCAATTTTAACATGCAAAAACAAAATTTAAACACGTATGCTTCAGTCGGTCCTAAGATGACCGGTTAGAAGAACGACAGAAAAACTAAAATGTATCCAGGAACATATATAGAGCATTTGCCGAGTTCATCATCCCAGGTTGCAACAGTCTACAAAACACGCTGTAGTTTTGACGTATCTCATCACGTAAAATGTTCCACACCTGGGCAGCTTCAAAGCGAAAAGACTTCTTACCAAAAGTAGTGGTATTTACCTTAGGTATCTTCAATCAAATTGTATAAACTTGATTTTTAACAATAAGATCTCTTCAAAATTCAGTTGCAATATTATGTATGGCCTATTATTTAACATTTTGTAAACTTCCCTAGCCATTGTCTTGAGCCTGCAGACATGTAAAAATTGTAACTTATTTCTGATTAAAAGATCGTTAACTTGGATAGTAAAATTTCTATAAAATGCAGGTCTCTCCTCTTGATTTTTTTCCATCTTCCTAATATTGCTTTGATTGCAAAAATGCCAAGATAGAGGACAACAGTTAACTGATTTGAAGATAGTGACTTTGCCTTTTTTATAAGGTTATTTCCGATACTTTTAAGCACACACAGTTGTTTGAAGGCCTTTCTAAATATTTAAAAACCATTTAACTAAAAGTTTGCTTTCCTTTTCTAAAACTTCTTTGGGGTTAGAGGGCACTATCACTTATATAAGACAGGGTGTTGTCATCTGCGTAATTGTATACAAAAGAACCAGATTTAAAATGGTAAAAATGTCATTTAAAATAATATGAAAAATTAGAGGTTCTACTATTGAACCTTGTTGGACCCTCTTCCTGAGACACTCCCAGTCGCTGACCAGGGGCCGAGCCTGACCCGCTGCTGCCTGTTACTGAGGTAGCTACTGACATTACGATTGCAGCTTTCCCAGTGAATGAGGGATGCGATCAAATACCTTGGATACGTCCATAACATCAAAGCCTAACGCATATCCTCTAGGAGTCTCAGCAGAACAGACTTGCACAAATATCCCCTCCCGGAAAGGATTTAAAATACGTCAATATGAACGCGTATGAAACATAAAATGGTCTGCGTATTCAAGCTACACCAGTGTATATTGTTTTATAATTTGCCTGTATTATAGAACAACAATATTACGTATCACAGTTTACCCAAGGGTCGGTCATCCCCCAATGGTGCCTACCTCCCCCAAGAAACTTGTACCAAATCCCTTTGATGTACATGTATGTATCCTTAAACTAAACCTCCCCAGAATACGCCCAATGCTTTCTAGAATGATAGTATTTTGAGAGTAGGCTAGCATGTTGTGATGAAGGGCTATTTTATGTGCTCAGATGAATGCACTTGACGTACACTTTCAAGGTCACGGTTCATATACATTGGAACACATAAACAACAACTTCTTTCACAATGTAACGAATTAATAGGCTAGAGACATATTATACGGACAGTAGCATGCTTTGACGAACACTCTAAACCTTCTCATTACCAACGTACCCAGTATCGCCAAGCGTGTTGATATCCTGCCTGGCATCTCTGACCACGACATGGTGTTTGCCGAACTTGACATCAGCCCAACCACTATAAAGCAGCGTCAACGCAAGATACCACTCTACGGAAGAGCAGATTGGAACAGATTTAAAAAGGATCTATATACACTCCTCCATATATTTGAAGACATGTACAACACCACCACAATTACTACCAACGACATGTGGATAGTCTGCAAACAGGGAATCAACAAAGGAGTGACGAACCACATTCCACACATACAGGCAAAGTGCAAAAACAGAAACCCGTGGATCGACACAGACCTGAAACAGAAGATCAGATGACAAGGCAGGCTGTACAAGAGGATGAAAAAGACGAAAGATCCCAGCCAAGTGCAATCTTACAAGATGCTGAAGAGTGAGATCCAGAAGACACAGAGACGGGCATACTGAAGCTATATAGAGAACATCGTCACCCCAACGAAGAAGATAGCTTCTCCGGTGGGCGAAGGAAGTTCTGGACCTTTATTAAACATAAGCGGAAGGACAAGTTTGGTGTATCGTCACTGAAGAATGATGGCAACCTGTACCCCGTTCCAGTAGATAAGACTAACTTTCTTAATAAACATATCAAGTCCGCCTTCTTTGAAATGACCATCTTCACTGAGGAAGAATTCATAAAATCTGGACGAGCATCTAGGACACTGAGATCACCATCAGCGGGATTGACAAGCTGCTCCGGAACCTCAGGCAACACAACCAGATATATCGCCACGAGTAATCAGGGAAACAGACGCAAGCACTGCCCCACTGCTCCACCTACTATTTCGGAAATCCCTAGTAACAGGTGTGATACCGGAAGACTGGCGCACTGCTCATGTAACCCCCACCTTCAAGAAGGGACATACATATAGTACGGTGCATCAAACTATACAAGCCAATTTCCGGATCCCTCACCTCTGTCTGCTACAAAATTATGAAGCACATCTTGACCTCTACCATCATGACTCACGGAGAAGGAAACAACATGTTTTATGATAGACAACATGGCTTCAGAAAGGGCAGATCATGCGAGACCCAACTCATTAACTTTGTGGATGACATCACCAACAACCTTCAAGCAGGCCAGCAGACTGAAATACTAATCATGGACTTTGCAAAAGCCTTCGACAAGGTCAACGACTGTCTCATCATCCACAAACTTAGTAAATAAGGGATACATGGAAAAAATCAACTCCTCGATCGAGAACTGATTGGCTGGTCGTGGAAGGTGAGAGTTCCACCCCGGTGGATGTCGACTGCAGGGTCCCCCAGGGCTCGGTCCTAGGCCCGAGTCTCTTTATCTATTACATCAACGACCTGCATGAGCCATTGAAGTCCACCATTAAACTCTTCGCGGATGACACCATAGCCTATCTCAGCATTACACCAGAGGACAGTGGTAAGACCCTACAGGAGGACCTCGACAAGCTGACCATATGGGAACGGTTATGGTGTATGATATTCCATCCTGACAACTGTAACATCCTTAGACTCACCAACAAGAGAAATCCAATCAAGACAAACTATCACTTACAGGGCCACTATCTGAAGGAGGTCAACACGGCTAGCCCCCTACCTAGGTGTCACCGTATCCAACAACCTTAAATTGGACACCCACATTAAGAATGTTACAGTGAAGGCGATCAGAACCATGGGTTTTCTACGGAGAAATCTGAAGAGTACATCCGACCAGATCAAGACACTAGCATACACCGGCCTGGTTAGACCATTGCTGGAATATGTATCCTCCGTATGCATATGGGACCCGCACACCCAGCACAACATCAACAGCATCGAACACATCCAGAGAAGAGCCGCGAGGTATGTCACGACGCGTTATCGGAACACGTCCAGCGTCTCTGATATGCTTCATATGCCCAGGTGAAAACCATTACAAGAAAAGAGGAAGGAAGCTAGATTAGTGATGATATACACGATAGACTGAAGTATGGTTGCCATCAGTAAAGAAAACAGACTGCTACCACCAAGACGACTTGCCAAAAACACCAATACTAGATCCGTTAAGCTTCTTTTATCCTGTTTTTAACCTACAAACTTATTTAACTGTGCCAGACCTGTCACACACATTTCAGAAGCATCAACCTGTTGATGGAGGCAATTACTGGAAGAAGAAGTTTTGTTCGGGTAGAATTTGTGTACACTTGTGTGGGTGCGCGCTGGTAAAAAAACATTACGGAAGCCTGTAAACGGCGTATGGCGCGTGATAGTTGTAATAAGTGGTAAATCAGTCATTTATGTTGAATTTGGACACGCATCGTAGCATATGATATGTTTATTATTATATGTTAACGTTTATTGTAAATATAAGCAATAAATTATGAATAGATAGTAAAATTAGAAGTTAATGACATCTTTAATGCAGTGTATGGAAGTGTGAGTGTTTATTAAGGTTCAACAAGCCTCCTTAAAGATTATTAGTCACCCTAAATTTCACCCCCCTGGCAAGTTATATTCAAGTACCCGTATCTAAAATCGGAATATATATATGCAATTTAAAGATATCGAAGGTGTACATGAGCTATGAAAAAGGTACATAACCAGGTTAACGAAGTCAAAATACGGCATTAAGGCTGATGTAATGAAAACAGTTGCTCACCAGATTAATAACGTGTCAATGTCTTCAGCGACCCAACTGAATGTTAAGAAATGACATGTTATTTGAAGATCATTTATATACCTAGGTCATATGCGGGGCTTTATTTATCTTTAACTATGTGTGGAGAGGCATACCGGCCTCACAAGAAGGTGATTGTTACTATGGGAATGTACAAAAATCATAGTAAAACGTCCGCGTAACATATTTTACCGATATATATGTGTAAAACCATAGACATTTGACCATAAATACTACTTAAACTTCATATAAAATGTCCTTTCTTAACATTCAATGTTTTTATAAAAGATCTTGACTTGTTATAAACATAATTGTACTTTTTAGATTCAATGTTTATCACATGTCTAGCGCATTCATAACACCACAGAATGTTATCAAATGGCACATCATGTAAAGTTCATTTATCGATCAAGGTTACTTATATAATTAGCCTTTGTTTTCGTATTTAT